GTTGAAGAGTTGTGGTGAAAGTGCATCTCCCTGTTTTAGTCCATTGTTTATTTCAAATGTCTCCGAGTATTGTTGTCCAACTCTCACCTTACATCGTAACCGTTCCATACACATCCGTATCAACCGGACTAGTTTTTTTGGAAAGCCAAGTGACTATTTGTTGCAGCATTAAGGGAGCAGTCATTTTGTGCTTGATATCGGCCCTGTCTCTTAATCTGGAGAATTTCATCCGAATTATCTTGCAACAAACTGTATGTTTTTGATACCTGCATAAATTTGACATTTTTGGAAAAGTCCGGATATGAATATATCGATATGCTCATCGAAGAGCTTGTAGTGAAGGTCCGTACTTAACAGCTCATCTTTCAAAAGTATAGAGGAATTTCCTTGCTGTGATGTCGATATAAAATATTTACCAGTAAACTTAACCACAGACAACAACCTATCACAGAGAAGATCAGCGGAGAATATCAGGCAGATTTAGGCAAGGAAGATCAACCGTCGATTAACCAATTACGGTTAAGCAGATCTAAAGCAAAGCCTGGAACATTACGTAGATATCTATAATATTTGCGTCGATTTTAAACAGTCATATGCCTCGATAAACAGGGACACTTATAATATAATAAAAATATTATAAACTTCAGACAAATTTACTTATAAATTATAAGTGAATTTGAAACACCCTCTAAATTTGTTAGGCTTATTCGAATGCTGATGTCAGATAAAGTCACATTCTAAACACATACGAGTAGGTCAGTCAAAAAAAAAACATAATACTATTACCATTTCTCAGCAGTCTTTCGATCTGTTAAACCGCAATCTGCTGGGCTTTTGGCGTCCATTGGTAACTGTTGATGAAATCTGGATCCACTATTACACCAAAGAACATATTGAACGCCCGGCAGTGGAATAAAGCCGGCAAACTTTTCGAAAACGGCCAAGTATGGCTTAATGTTGGAAAGCTTATGGTCACGGTAATTTGGGATTGCAAAGGCATAATTTTAATTGACTATTTTGAAAAAAGTGAAACTATCAATAGCCAAAATGTTGTTTCTCCAAAACAAGGCATTGGAAAGACATGTTTTTCATTCCAAAGTAGGTTACTTACCAGGCCACCTAGTACAATAATATTTCGCCATCTATTTTGGTACACTTTACTTTTCTAACCCCGTAAAAATAAAAGAGAGTTAAATGTAGTAACCTTTTATTGATGCTATCGACCTACCTACCAATTTGAGAAGATATCTAAGTAGTTTCTTACCAAGAGAGTCTAATAATGAGCCGCACCATTTTGCTGTAGTCATAAATCATTTCTCTTAGAGAACAACCGTTTCAAGAAGCTTTGCAGAAATTTTAAATATCGATTACCTGGTGAAATAAGTTTTGGTAAAGTATCACGTACAGTGGTGGATTCAACGGGGGGGGAGGGGTCATGACTCCCTCCCAACAAAATTAAATATCAATCAAATTATCCTAAAAAAAATAATTTAAAACCTGTGTCCATAAAACCACAAAGTGGGGCTGCTGTCGAAGGTATTTGTGAAACTCGTTGGGTATGATTCGAAGAAGGCTACTGAGGCCATAGAGGACACTAAATGCATTCGTCAAGATAAAAGATCAAATGCTGAATCTGTTTTTAGCAAACTTTACTATGAAGTAAAGCACATAGCTGAAAAACTATACATTGAATTGAAGATGCCTCGTATAGTTTTCTTGTCAAACCTGTCGTCAAAACCAACCTACTAATTCTTGCAAAGAATATTTCCGAAGATCTATGAGTATTGGAAAACTGCGATTTTCATATGTATCCAAATATCAGAATATTTTTGCAAATACTCATTACACTGCCAGTCAGTGCAGCAACAGCAGAGCGTAATTTTTCTACACTTAAGCGTTTAAAGACTTTGCTTAGAAATATAACTTCGGAGGAAGGTTAACTGGTTTAGCATCAATGTGCATCCTGAAATTTCTCTAGATGCTGATGCAATGATATAGCGATTTGCTAAATCGGATAGGCGAATAGAATACATTTTATAAAACTATATAATGTTTCCTTATCTTATTTTTGTATTATTTTTGTTCACTGAACTTTTATTTACCACTCGTTACAGGCTGTTGTTGACAATTCGTGAGAAAAATTTCAATACCGAGTAAAAAAATATTTCACTCACTTGTAGCCTAATATGCCTAATTACAGAAATAGCTATTCTAATATTTATATTATGATTTTTGTTGAATAAATTAATTGAAATAAAATGGCGTTTACACTTCTTCTTAAGGCTCATCCTCGAAAATCCTAACGGTAAATTTCAGTTTGCTATCTCTATTTCAAAAATTTCTTTCTTTACGAAAACAAAATCTGTTCATGAAGTAATATTCTAAACTTCGTTTAGATATCTCTCTCAAGCCCAGGTCAAAAATGGGATTTGTAGGTTCTTCCTAGTCACCATTTTTAAAAATTCGTAGAGGGTCCAGTAAAGGTACAATGTTTGTGCAATTTTTTTAACAAAAAATACAAATCCCATTCCTTAACATGGCATCAATGAGGTTCCTTAATTATTATAATCAAATTAGCTGTAAATTATCATCTTTTCTTTGACTTGATCTACTACTTGTTGTAATTGGTCGTAAAACACTTCCCTTGTTATTTGAGGCTTATTATGTTCTGGGCCGTATACTCCGATAATGTTCAGGTTTTCCTTCTCCATTCTTATCTTTGATGTTACTATTCTTTCTGATATGTATTGACACTCTTTGATGTAATTTTGATACCTTTGGTGTATTAGTAAGGCTACACCTTCTTTGGCCCTGTTTTCTTTTGCTACTCCACTGTAGATTAGTATGTATTCACCTAATTTTGATTGACCTATTCCTTTATTTTTTGTTTGCTGTAGAGCACAAATGTCTATTTCTTTCTCTTTCAACACTTAGGTTATTTCTTGGTCCCTTGAGTTGAGTGATCTGATATTCCAAGTAATTTTCATCTGGGTTTTGGATGTTTTTCGCTTGTCCTTATTTCTTGCCGTAGTCGTCTTCATAGTTTCAATCCGGTTCCGAGACTGTACATTGTTTCTTTGAGCAGTATTTGATTTTACGATTGGTAGGTTGCTAACCAATAAATATAACTAATTAAATTTTATATTCAAATACTGCAAAATATTTGGTTATTACTCTGAGCTCATGTAAAGAAGAAAAGAAAATAATAATTCTGATTGAAATACAAAAAAAATGTACTGGATGATTGACCAAAACTCTACGCTGTTTCTATATAATAAATTATTATTATACATACACGGAACACACACGGAATTATTATAAACAGAACAGTATTATTATAAAAACAGTATAAATATTTAGAAGGAAAATGCCACTAATCAACAGAAAATATTTCTATTCATATAAAAATTTAAAAAATTATAGGTACTTATAATAAAATATCCTATTTTAAATACAATAAACACACTGGTTTGTCAAAAGTCGGAATAAGCCCTAATAATGTTAATCAACACTATTTATCCTCCTCCGAGGGTTTTACCTACCTGGCGAGAATCCAGAAGCTACCGACAAGGACAGCCTGTGCTGACGGAGAGAAAATTGCATTTAGCAGAAATTTGAAATTTTTTAAAAGTTTATATCAAATAGCTGCTTTGTATTACACTTTATGTTAAAAATAAAAACAGATTCGGAAAGTGGGTCAAATTCTGTAGTGCCCTATTAAAAAAAAAAAATTTACGTTTATTTTAACCAAAAATATTTGAAAAAAAAATATTGTTTAAACAATTTATTAATTAACAAGCAAATAGTGCCCTAGAACTTTTTTTAAACCTTCCATATAAAAAAAATCATCTCAATATCTGCCATAGTTTTTTGCGTTATTTAATATAAACTTTTACATTGGAATTTACCTATGCCCAGAATCGCGAGGATCGGCCTTAACGTTTCTTTTTAATGACGGAAGGGTGGGTATAACTACAGCAAATTGCTTTTTGTCTTGTGTGTCCATGGCTGTTCAGTCTCTTACATTCTTCAGCCAGGAGCATTTTCTTCTTGGATCTCTTTTTTCTTCTATTTTCCCTTCCATTATGAGTCATAGAAAGTAATATTTTTCTCCTCTGTAAATATGCCATAGATAACCCGTTTTTTTTTACAATATTTAGGAGTTCTCTTTCAGTCCTCATTCTTCTCAGCACCACGTTGTTTGTCACGTGCTCTGTCTACGACATCTTCAGCATCCTTCAAAAAACACACATTTCAAAGGCATCTATACGCCTCATCCTTGTAATTCTGAGAGTCCGTGTTTACACTCCGGACAACAATAAGGAATAAATGAATGTTTCTACAAATTGATATCGAATATCCAACCATAAGATAGGAATGTTTAATAGATTCATTAATGTTTACACTTACATTGAGTTATTGGGTTTAAATTATTTAACTTTGGTTTATACTTATTTATCCTTGGTTTGTTCTTAATTTTGTAGCCATAGTATAGGTGGGTTTAAATTAATTGTCTTTAAAATACCTAGTTTAAATTGACACCTGATTTTACTATCGTAGAGTATGTGGGTATAATTTTTTTTTGTTTAAGTTAAAGAGCCCTTAATATTGTCCCTCATTGATTCAATATATCGCTGGAAATAATTATTGAGAAATGGTTCCCCTCTCAGAGGCACAAATCATATCAGTTAAAAATCTAAATCCTATTTCAAAATCACTCGCAAGACACATGACACCCCCTCCCCCTTAAAATTTCTGGATATTATTTTGAAGCTATTTCCTTGTGTGCATTTTAAAATAACTACTATTTAAATGGAAATAATCTACAATTAAAGGTTACTGTAAGTTTATTGACGTTTCAATTTCCACTTCGGAAATCGTTTTCAAACAAAGCTGTCAATTGCAAACAAATAAACTTTAGCGAAATCTTTGTATTTTCATATTTTAATATTGGTTTTTTTTTCTTTCTAACAAATTTTATATCTATTTTTATTTTGTAGGTTAATAAATTTGAAGAGACTTGGCATTTGTACATTAGCTGACGGTAGATTATATTTCAAACTCAATAAGATCCGCGAAGCCAATAAAAAGTCTCTAAAACTTTTCAAACAACTTCCGGCTCTCAATTGGAAGCAAACTAAAGACGCAAATTTCACGACTTTGGCCAAATTCAATCGCCGTCGAAGTGTCGCCCCAATTGAAATTGTCGGCATGCCCGGCTATGCCCAGCTATCTACTCAAGAAGCTGAACTGTGCAGTACTGTAAGACTGGTTCCAATTGCTTACTTCCAACTGAGGGAGACTTTGGTGGCTGAGAACAAAAGAAATGGTTCTGTTTCCTTACAAACTGCTAGAAGACTGTTGAAAATTGATGTAAATAAGACTAGAAAATTGTATGATTATCTAATACAGACGGGATATATTTTAAAACCACCTCCAGTATAATCTAGGTGTAATATTCAAACAAAAGTATTTGATTTATGTTTAAGTTTAATGTTTTTTTTTATTAATAATTTTAATAAAAATAAATAAGTTTATATAATTCGATTTATTAATAAATTTCTATCCCAATTACAGTATTTCTCTCTCTAGATTTCATCCACGTCTAAGAAGAACACAAGTTGTAATGGTTTGGGGGTGAGCTTCTGATATTCTTAGAGTGTGTTTAGAAATGCCACAGGAATCTGAGTGCGCCTCAGTTTTCTTTTTGCTGTTTGTCGATTATATCACTGGTTGCTTCTATAATTCCAAGTAGTTAATGTCCGCAGATGATGTAAAAGAGTATAAAGTAATTTCACGCAAGTCTGATGCGATTAATCTTCAAATCAAAGTTAATACCGTGAGGAAATGAAGTATTATGTTACGAGCGCACTTGACCAAATCGGGAGGCGACAAAACACAGCTACAGCCCTGAATTAAATGCTGTAACGCGCATTTACCGGCAAAATGACGTCAGCTTAGTCAGTGAATTTGTATATTTCATGCAAAATGGGTCCAACATTTTGTATTAGTTTGTAGTGCGAGGAAGAGGAACAACAAAATAAAATAAACTTGAAACGAAAAATGGAGGGTCCTAATATGGAATAATTGATTTATCCGAAAATATAAGTTTAAAACGCAATACACGACCATCTTCTATTTCACTCGCTCTCTTTACTATCATACTCACACCTTTGTGTCAGTTGCGCGAACGATACGCATGTGGCAGCAGTGTTTTGTTTTATAGTCTCGCAGAAAATTTCAAAGGTATGTATTAAACGAATATTATCGGTTATTGTGCATGAATACAGACTTGCTGTACTATTGAGTACATCCTATTACGTTTATTTTTTTCATTTTGTGACCTGTAATTAAAATATTACGACTTTAAAAAATATAGATACTAGTTTGAACTGGTATAAAAATTTAAATATGGTCAGTATGGAATATTCCATAATTGGGTGTTTTTTTTTCACATATTAGGTACTTGCTATAATTTCTTTTAAAAATTCATCAGGTTGGATTCAAATGAACTTCTATCTTCACAGAGTGGTTCAAGCATCATTCAATATACCAATCCTACTCCTGAATGAAAGGTTTTGAAGGAATGATTCTAGATGGACACTATAGTCACACACATAATATCGATATGATAGACATCGCTATGGAAAAAAAACGTGGACATTGTTTCTTTACCTCCACATATAACTCACAAGCTGCAGCCGTTAAACAGGACTTTTATGAGGCCGTTAGAAACATATTACAGTGAGGAAATTCGCACGTGGATTAGTAATAATAACTGATCTTATTTCCATATGATATTGTAGAGCTGTTTGGAAAATCCTATTTGAAAGTACAAACAGACGAGATTGTAGCCAACAGTTTTAAGGTCAGTAGATTATGGCATTTCAGTGACGTCGACTTAATTGTCACGCAACAAAATGCTGTAAAAAATGGTTGTACAACCTACATCTCTACACTAAAATCAAGATCTGAACCTAGTCAAGCCCTGACAGAAATCCCTGTAACAGAAACAAGTGCTAATCTACAACCTGAATATGTACCTTTGACTTGAGGGATTAATCGGAACACTCTAGGTCTGGTGTTTCCGTATGCTGTAAGCCCAGTGCCAGAGAAACGAGAAAAAAAAAGTATCTGACAGAGGAAGAAAAGCTACCGAAGCAGCTGCCATAACATCTTCACCCTACAAGAATGATTTAGTAAATCAAAATTTGAAAAGACAAGAAAAAGAAAATAAATTAGACAAGACCAAGAATAAAAAGAAAACTGCGAAGAGAAACAAACGAACAAAGAAAAATAAGACTCATTCGAAAGAAGAAGACTCTGAGGAACAGGACGCTATCCAGTTTGATCCAGACAATGTGCCTGATGAGTTGTTGGGTTAAGAATCTCCTGACTCTGCTGATGCTGAGTGTATGTTTTGCCAAAGACTTTTTCCAAGGATAGCAGTGGAGAAAACTGGAATAACTTAATATGATTGTGCTGGTTCAGATTTTGATACATGGATCTGTGACTTCTGCAAGTGAATTGTGAGTGAGCTATTTCATTTTCACAATTTTTTTATTTAAATTTATTTGATCTCATAGATGTCTATCTTAGTTATTGATATTTTGGTTCATGCTTATATTCCATATATGGGTAGCTATTCCATATTTGGTTACTAAATTGTTGCTTGTTTGGTTACTTAATTAAGATATCTGATAGAAGGCTGTTAATTACTACATAAACGTGTATGACTAATTTTTAGTAACATTAAACTGTTTTCATTTTTATAGTTATTTTTTTATATCCTCAAAACAAAATGGTATTCCATAATTGGTGACTTTCCTCTAATAATTGAGTGCATGAAATTTGTAAAAAAGCGAAACACAGAAAGTGAATTTGCTACTTTATTTCCTGATGTAATCGATCATCAAGACATATCGTATCCATACTTGAATGAGGTACGAAAATATCAATAACACGTAAGGGTTACCGTAGTAATGGTGGCCTGTAAGTTAATAAAAGCCACACGGCTCCTAATAATTGTCACAGTATATAATTTACGTAACAAAAGTAACCACTGGCGCTATCTACTAATGGGTAGCTTAACTAGTTAAAGGAAGAACCAGCGATTTCTAAAATTAAGTCTTTTCGCGTGTGAAATTTAATTTATGGTTTTTGTTTTCAATAAACTCATTACAGTGCTTCTTAATGGTCAATAGACTTTAGAAAAAAATAACATCTATATTTTGAGGTTGTGTTGGACGGTTATTCTGGGCTACCATGACCCCATGATTGATGGAAACATAATTTTTAACTTTAAAAATAAAAAATTATTATTTCAAACACGATAAAGGATATTCTGATTGAAGGAATGATTTGGCAAGTACCCTCCAAAACGATTAAAAGAAAATAGCGATGATGGACCTTCTTTAGGCCCCAAAACCGGTGTTTTCGGGAGTAAAAGAAAAATATCTAGCAGAGCATGTTTTACATCTCTCGAAACTTTTCTATGGAATTTCAAGGCAAGAAATTAAAAAAATCACCTACCTTGCCCTTTTAATAAAGATACAAAAACTGCAGGCGATGATTGGCTGGAGTTTGATGAAAAGAAATCTTTCAGTAAGCCGGAACCAACATCCATAAACCAAATAACAGCGTTATGTAAATAAGAAGCCCCATATTTTTCATAATCTAGAAGAAGTGCGAGAAAAGTACAATTTTAGTGCCCATATAATTTTCAACACTACTGGTACAGGTGTTGCCGAGAGGGGCATTTGGGCCTGTAGGACCCATCGCCGGCTCTTCGGACTTCTTCCTGTCCCCGGAATTTGATCGGGTGTTGACCATCTTTGCTTGTCGCTGGTAAAACGTGTTAATACTGCTACTGGTATAAAATAACAGTTACCGTGACAAGTATCTGTTATAGGTAACAGTTCCAAGGAACAGTTACAAAATAGCAGATCAAAATAGAAAACAGAACAGGTAAAATAATCTAAGTATTCTTTGACTTACGAAAGAAATAACTTAGTAAACAAGGAAATAAAATGGTATAATAAAAATACAATGCACAGAAAATGTTTCTAATTGTTTCTTGACTTACGGAAGAGACAACTTAGAATGAAAAGTAAAATACACAAGAATAAAAGAACAGAAAAGTGCAGAAATATTCCTAAGTGTTTCTTGACTTACAGAAGAAACAACTTAAGACAGAAATATAGATAAATGAAATATGTAAATATGAAACAATGTATGGAAATATTTCTTAGAACAGAAAACAAACAAGAGAATCAAATATAGTAAAATAAAAATATAAATATTTGTAAGTGTTTCTTGACTTACGGAAGAAACAACTTATAATAGAAAATAAGAAAATCAAATACAGAAAAGATATGGAAATATTGCTAAGTGTTTCTTGACTTACGGAAAAAACAACTTAGCATGAAATGGTAAAATAAAAGAGACAAATATATTAAGAAAATATCTTAGATAAATATCGGAAGTAATAATGCAATAATGATTATGAAAATATTTCTAAGTGTTCTTTTGACTTACCGGAAAAGAATGACTTAGGCACACAATTAACAAGTCAAATATCAGAGAAATATTTCTAAGAGTTCTTTGACTTACCGGAAAGAACTACTTAGACACAAAGTACAAAATCAAATTTATAAAATAGAAAAAGTAAGGTAAATATTTCTAAGTGTTCTTAACTTACGGAAGAACAACTTAGATACAAAATACAAGAAAAATAAACAATCAAAATAATCAAATAAAATATCAAATAATCAGTATATGAACAAATATAAGTCAGAGTAATATTCTAACCTGAAAAGGTCTGAATATACAATAATAAAATATAAATGGTTATCAGGAAATAAGAAATAAAACAATAGCTTAGTCGGAACAATAATAGCACCGATTAGGTCTACAGAAGAAGAGGCAAGCTCGACTGGCCGATGAGAGAAATTCCGTCTGCTTTTATATAAAACAAATCCTTTGTTTTACGTAGCAAAAGTGGAATTTCCCTGCATCGAGTCAATTAGAAATTCGGATTTACCCAAACTTGGAATTTCCAAGTATTTCTCCGAATTTCTAAATGCGTCCGGCACGGCTGTCAGCTTCTGCCTGACACGCCTCCGGAGACACAGGGATATCTGTCCAGACACGAGCAAAAATTTTAGCTAAGAAAGACTGAAACAATTGTAATTTGATACCAGTTGAAAAAGAGGCAGAAATATTACAGTGGTGTGTGTTTTCAGCGCGTGTGTTTGGATTTCCCCATGTTTTTTTTGCGAGGAAAATAAGGAATAACTTTAAAAAGGGGGTCCACTTGAAGCTATTTACGCTTGTTTGGATAAAGGATGGACCACAGAAGTTTCCAAAAATTTGTGAAAGCAAGCGTGGAACATACTGTTCTAATTATAATGGACAACCATTTAGCTCACTCTACGCTGCAAGCTGATCAATTTTAGATGACGTTAATGATATTTAAATTTTGAGAATCGTTAGCAATCAAATCTTTTATTGACATATTCTTTTAATTTTTTAGTT